GCGGCAGCGTTAAAAAGCAACGAGCTAAATATCAAGCGCGAAGCGCAAAAGTGCAAAAAAGAAGTAAAGAGTGGGAGAGACAGAGAGGATACAGGCGCGTATACAGGCGCGCGTAAAAAACTCCGGCCCAAAAAAGAGAGAGAGAGAGAGAAAGAAAAAAGGAAGAGGACGTAGGAAGAAAAAAGATTAAGAGTCAAGAACGGTACAACGAATCGTCATCTTTCTCTTATAATGTAATGAAACGTCGAAGTTTCGCGCGGGAGGGGGGGTGGGGAACTGAATTCAGACAAGGATTAAGAGTCGAGAATGGTACAACGAATCGTCTTCTTTCTTTAGTATCTTAATGAAACGTCAAAGCTTTCGCGCTTCGCGCGGGAGGGGGGGAACTGAAATCAGACAAGGATTAAGAGTCGAGAATGGTACAACGAATCGTCTTCTTTCTTTCTCAATTTAATGAAATGTCAGAGCTTCCGCGCTACGCGCGGAGGAAGGGGAACTTTATTCAAACAAGGATTAAGAGTCGAAAACGGTACAACGAATCGTCTTCTTTCTCTTATAATTTAATTAAAGGTCAAAAGAAATTGAATTTAGACAAGGATTAAGAGTCGAGAACGGTACAACGAATCGTCTTCTTTCTCTAATAATTAAATGAAACATCAAAGCTTCCGCGCTTCGCGTGGGACGGGGAAAACCCCCTCCCTGCAGCCACCCCCTTTCGGGAGCGCGCTTCGCGTGCTCACTACCGCCCCCTAAAATAAAATCCTTGCTACGCGCTTGAGAGGATAATAACCCAAGTTGCAAGCCCACATGGGTCCCATATTCTCTGAAATGTTATCTTGATTGAGGGTGACTTGAAAAAATTAATAACTTGTAAGGGAGGGGGTGCAACCTGCCACACACTTCTACCTCTTGGTTGCTTTGATCCATTGCCGAAATTATTTTGGCACCTATCACCCCCCCCCCCCCCCCAACCACGGATAAAAATCGACACCGTTGTGACCAACAATGACGGTCGCATACTACCGGGTACCCATTTAACACCTGGGTGGAGAGTAGAAAGTTCAGGTTAATATCTTGAAAAAGGATATTAGTGCCGGTGTCGTGATTCGAACCCTCGACCTGCGCATATCATACTCCCGCATGACAACATAAATATATAGATAACGTGAAGAAAACCTTAATTTCGGATCATGGTCGAGGGCCCATTATACAAAGACAAATACACGATCAGCTTAAAAAGTGACAGATGATGCATAAATGAAATATTACATCCTAATTTCTTTGTTTTGCCATTTTGTTGGTGGGAGAGGCTGTAAGGCGTACTCATCTGCGCGCAATGTATTATTGAATTTCTTTAAAAAATGTAATTTCTGTTATTTACTCGGTAGCAAAACTTCGGGGGAATTGGGCAACTCCCACCCCCCCCCCCCACATCGAAGTGAATAACTTGAAAACACTAAAATGAACTTCACAAATAACATAGAAATTGAAAGTTTATGAAATTTTCTATAAAGAGCAATTTGGAGAGAAGCTCGCATTATTTGTCACAGTGTTACAAATTCCTCGGGGGTGATTGTCATCGGGGATAGTTGTCCTCGGAAGAGGGGGGTAGTTGTACTTGGGGGGAATTGTCCTCGGGGGGTAATTGTCCTCGGGGGTAGTTGTCCTCGGGGGGTAATTGTCCTCGGGGGTAGTTGTCCTCGGGGGGTAGTTGTCCTCGGGGGGTAATTGTCCTCGGGGGTAGTTGTCCTCGGGGGTAATTGTCCTCGGGGGTAGTTGTCCTCGGGGGGTAATTGTCCTCGGGGGGTAGTTGTCCTCGGGGGTAATTTTCCGGGGGGTAATTGTCCTTGGGGGGTAATTGTCCTCGGAGGGTAATTCTCCGGGGGGTAATTTTCTGGGGGGTAATTGTCCTTGGGGGGTAATTGTCCTCGGGGGGTAATTCTCCGGGGGGTAATTTTCTGGGGGGTAATTGTCCGTGGGGGGTAGTTTTCCGGGTGGTAATTTTCCGGGTGGTGATTGCCCAGGGGGTAATTGTCCTGATACGCAAAGCTTCCGGGAGGGGGGGGGGGGGGGGACTGAATTCAGTCAAGTAATAAGAGTCGAGCCTATGGTACAATAAATCGTCTTCTTTCTATAATATTTAATGAAAACTCAAAACTTCCCCGCTTCGCGTGGGCGGGAGGAAACTGAATTCAGACAAGGATTAAGAGTCGAGTACAACGAATCCTCTTCTTTCTCTAATAATAGGTATAGCACACCAAAAATAAGTACAACGCATGTTATCGGATGATTGCAAATGATCAAGCTTTATGAAAGCTTCAAAAAACAAAAAACAGGATTGAAATCGGTCAATGCGTTGTGATTTTATACAATTTTTTTGATATCGCAAAATTACCGAAAAACCTGCCAGAAATGGTCAAATTGGCAAAAATGGCAAAATTCGACAAATTTGACAACTTAATTCATCACTTTCTCGGACACAAGTAATAAATTAAATTATCAGACACTGAAATATCTTCTTTGTGGTAAAAAAAATACATATAGAAAATTCATATACCTATTACCGTTTTGATAACAGAAGCCAACAAAATAAGACATTTTTGCCATTTTTGCGAATCTGCAGATATGAAAAAGTTGTGAAAATAACTAAGTCCGCCTAATTAATATGCGCATATGTAATCAAATCAAAACCGAACATGATACATCAGTGAAACCTATGTATATCAGACAGGTATGGAAATATATTTCATTTGAAATATTACAAAATCATAAATATTCATCAAATATGCAAATTAGGTCAATTCAGCTAATTATATATTCGCGCACTCGTTATGCAAATTAGGAAAGTCAAACCGTTCATTTTGGGGGCATTCTTTAAATCATTTATTTATAGATCATATTTACACCAAATATTGACCTTAAATTCCAAATATTTTTGCAATGCCAATCAAATATGGCGATGGAAATTACTTGGATCACCGTCACAGCTATTTTCTCATATGTTTCACTATTTATTCAGAAACACCGATCAAATGATAAGAATTTGCAGACTTTCAGCTACATCACAGTATATTTGCATTTTTAAAAGATGTCAGATTTGACGATTTATGACGATTTTCCGAGAAACCATTCAACAGGCCATAACCATTCTACAGGGACTGAATTTCAGAGTAACAAAAACTTTGGTGACCCTAATACAATTGTGGCTACCTTGAGTGTAAACAACAATTTGATTCAATGAGTGAAACAGGATATGAGGATATTGCATTTTTGTAGGGGAGTTTTATACATTGAGGTGCATTTTCACCACGCAGAATAACAATGCAAGTCAATGGGCGATCAGCGGGCCATGTCACACATGGCTGAAAAGACAATATTCTGATTAAATGATTAAACATATTTCCCACATGCCTATAACAATGAAACTACACAGAATAGTAGTTAAAGGTATGCTTGAAATATATGTGAAATAATTTTTTTTTAAAAATATTGTTTAGTTTGTTAAAAATAAATATATTGCTATTTCTACCAACTGACTGCTGTTGTGTGTATGTGTGTGCATGGGGCAGACTGTGTGCACATGCATTGTGATCACCCTACTAATAATTTAATGAAACATCCAAGCTTCCACGCTTCGCGCGGGAGGGGAAAAACTGAATTCAAACAAGGATTAAGATACGAGAATGGAACAACAAATCGTCTTCTTTCTCTAATAATTTAATGAAGCGTCAAAGCTTACGCGCTACGCGCCGGCGGGGAAAAACTGAATTCAGTCAAGGATTAAGAGTCGAGAATGGAACAACAAATCGTCTTCTTTCTCTAATAATTAATGAAAGATCAAAGCTTCTGCCCTTCGCGCGTAATTGGGGAGGGGGATAGCGAGCTGCCCGAGTATGATTTTTTGATATCTTTTCTCGTTTATTTTGGTGATAAATGCTCACATTTTTTCTCCCTCGCTTCGCTCACTAGCCGAATTGTGAAACCAGAAAATTTTGTCGGGCAAGAGGCTATAGTCCCCCCCCCCCTATTGGAAAATCCTGGATCCGCGCCTGCAGGGGGTAGGTGTCCTAGAACCGCCCAAAAAGGTACCATTGCACCTTTTCACAGACCCAGAACGGAATTTACTTGTACCCACTGGCGTGTCAGTGGTGGTAGAGACGAGGAGGCTTGGGGATTGTTTCACGCCCAAAATGGGAGAGAGAAAAAGAGAAGAAAGAGAATAAAAAGTAAAAGCGAAAAAAAGAAAAGAGAATAAAGAGAATGAAAGGGAAAAAAGATGAAAGTGAAAAAAGAAGAAATGTGTTTCATTTTCACATCTTTTTAACCCTTGCCACTTATTTTCTTACATTTGTTCCTGTGTACATGTAAAATCGTCAAGCCACCCCCCCCCCCCATTTTGTAAGACCTATAGCCTTTCAAAACCGAAACAGAGGTCACTTTTCGTACTGTATATTGAGTGTAGTAGGCCTAATCTCGATACATGGGCTCTATATCGTAAGAATAGACGTTTGTAATAGCAGAAGAATAGGACATTTATATCGGTAAATAACTGAAGTTTCATAGCATTTCTCCTCCATAGAACTTCGTTTCATAAGCCAACCAACCCCCTTTACCATAGCTTTAGGTCCTATGCAATATCATGGAATTTCTTTCAGCCGCAAAATTGTTTCCGCCGAGAGTAGCTACCCTCCCGGGATTCTGAAAGCTGACAAATGAAAACGTGGATATGAAATTACAGTTATAGACATAGCACAATACACATCTTTCCTTTGTCCTTTCCACTCCTCTCCCTCTCCTAGCCCACTCTCTTCACATCGAATTCTTGTAAAATTGCCAAATTAATTCTTTATTACTGTTTGCCATGTATCATTAATTAAACTCTTCTTTAACTCTTCAAAGGCGAGCTTATATATCTTTTCTCTCCAAAATGTATTTAATTCAAATCAACTTAATATGAGACTGGACCTAGACAGAAAATACACACTAAAGCATAAGATTTATGTTCATTCTTTAATTAGTGTTGATTAGTCTTACAATTACAGCTGGAAGAAAACTTCGTGGCAATTGATCATTCATTAAAGTCATCAAGGTTAACATTGAGTATGCTTATTGAAAGTTCCTAATGGTTTAAGATGGGCCTATAGTCCGGTTAAAGTGATAAGGTTAGGATTTCAGTATAATATGTACATAGAGAGAAAAAGTCACCATTATCATATAATTGTACAAGTGGTCATTGTAGTTGATAAGTTGATTTTGTATGGCACATATCACTATAATTATGATGGATCATCGTTGTGCTCTTCCTATCCGGATTGTTACCCCTAAATATTATCCGGATTGTTACCCCTACTTTTAGCTCCGGCAGCCGTTATCAGTGCACATGCAGTACTTTTAAAAGAGCAATCCAGGTACCTTTTTCACACCTGAATATAAAGAGATTAACTACAGATGATAATTATATCTTGTCCCTGTGCAACTAGCAGATATTCGAACCCATTATTGCAAACCCTTTCTGAAAACGCATAGAGACTAAGTATTATGCGCTATACAAGAACGGACTATTATTATTATCATATACAAAGAATATAATGGGCACTGAATTAAGATTAATCGTAATTTAAAAAAAGATAGCATTCGTGAAAAGAATGTGTTCCTTTGAACTTAGTTTTAGCCTATTTCTGAATATTATGGTGCAAAAGCACAGTGGGTATGAGTTGAGTGTCCAGCGTCCCCAGGGCCAAGGTTCTCTCGAGCTCCATGGGATGAACAAATACTCTTCCAAGAGTAGGCGTAGTAGCTAGGGTCACCGCTTTTAATCTGGAAGTCCACAGCGGTACCTTGGTAATGCTTAGAGGTTGACGAGTGACACGCTCCAGCGATTGCGTTGATCTTGGAAAGGGAAATAAGGAGAACAGTTATTTTCCCAAATGGAAAAAAAAATCAACTCTCTTACTATATCGAAGGGGAATTCACTTTAGGGGAGAAATTACCACTTCGTTTGGAGTGGAAAGACGCGATTAAACATAAAAAGAGAAATTACCACTACTTCAGAGTTGATTCATTCTAATTTGGAATGGATTCACCTCCAAATAAAGTGACTCTTTATTAGATCCGTAACAAAATAATACTGAAATATCTTCAAACACAACAAGAAAGACATAATTGCATGTTCAAGGTTCAAGGTTCATTTTATTTCTTTCTTTCACAACATTTTTACATATAATAATAGAACAAAAAAACAGCATAAGAAAAAACCATTTAAGTGCAATTTTAAGTCGATATATAATCCAAATGAAAGAAAGTGGAGACCTTAGAAAAGCTGGGCTTGTAAGAGCAAGGTCCCCATTTAACATAATCCATTAATGTTTCACTTTTAAAAATGTTTCAAAGTTATCAAAAACTACACATGATTAAATATGGGGGAAATATTTACAAAAGGGATAGCTTGAAATGTGAAAAGGAGAGGATGAAAATATATACAAAGGGATCAAGAGGAAAAAAGTAAACTGGAACGAGAAAAACAACAAAACAGAAAAAAAAAAAAAAAAAAAAAAAAAAAAAACAGAGAAAGAAGAAAGTTATATGTATATAGGGGAAAATGGTATTAGGTGTAAAGAAAAAGAAAAAAATAGAAGAGAGGAGGGGGGGGGGGGTGAGAAAATGTGAAATGCTGACATTTATATTGAATAATCAAACATAACAAAAACAAAAAGATAATGCACGTTATCAATAACAATTGATAAATTATTTCCTAATATCATTTCTGGTGATATAATTTTTAGGTTAATTGTCGACATAGTTACTCAATAAATGTAATTTCAATTTGCGTTTAAAACCAAAGACACTAACAGATCTAGTTACATTGATAGGGAGTGAGTTCCAAAACTTGGGACCAGTACAAGCCAGCGTCTTCAGAGCAAAAGCAGTTCTTACACGTGGAATATGAAGTGCAGTTGCCTGCCTTGTATTATAGCTATGAATTTGATTGTTCTTTCGAAATATTTGTATTAACACATTTGGGAGAGTACCATTTTCAAAACCATACATAATTGTGCCTAACTGTATAAAGTAAATGTCTTCAACCTTCAATAGCTTATTACTGTAGAACAAAACATTAGTATGAGCACGATAGCTCGCATTAAAAACAACTCTAACCACCCTCTTTTGGGCAACACAAATCTTATCTAATTGTGTTTTCAATGACTTCCCCCATGCCAGCACTCCATAATTGAGATAAGGCAAAATTAAAGTAGAATACAAAATAAGCAAAATTTCTTGTGGGACAAAAGAACTTAATTTATAAATTACACCAGTATTTCTAGACACGACTTTACAAATATTAGTACAATGAGATGCCCAAGACAGCTTCTCATCAATATGTAGCCCAAGAAACTTGGTGGAAGTTACTCTCACAACATTAACATCATCAAAAAATACATTTCCAGGTACATCCTTTAGGGAGTTACTAAAAAACATGTAGTTTGTCTTTTGAAGATTCAAGGACAACTTATTTGCATGAATCCACAAAATAACTTTTTTTAATTCAATATTAACTGTATCTAATAAAACTTCAGGGTTTTTATGAGAAAAAAATACACTTGAATCATCTGCAAAAAATATGAAAGATAGTACATCAGATGAAAGATAAAAATCATTAATATATAATATAAAAAGAAGGGGGCCAAGAAGGGACCCCTGAGGGACCCCACAAGATATAGTTTGATGACTTGAGTCAGTTCCATTTAATGATACATATTGTTTTCTGCCTGTTAAATAGCTCCTGAACCAGCTAAGAGCGATGCCCCTCACTCCATAATATGACAATTTACTTATTAAAATTTCATGATCAACCGTATCAAACGCCTTAGAGAAATCCAAAAATATACCAATTGTATGAAGGTGATCATCTAGTGCTTGAGCAATTTTATCAACAAAGTGTAAAATTGCATGTATAGTGGTGTGCTTTTCACGAAAGCCAAATTGGAATTTTGAAAATATTTCAGTCTTTTTTAAAAATATCACTGTTCTATCATATATAAGTTTTTCTAAAAGCTTTGAAAAGGATGTCAATAATGAAATGGGTCTATAATTACTTAATGTTTGAGGATCACCCTTTTTAAATATTGGCATGTATTGTAGTGTAGGCGATCAGCTTACCCATGGACACTTACACAGAACATGCACTTTGATTCATAACACTCTCAAACTAGCTGGTTAAATATTACCCTACTTGGGGAGGAGAAAGGGGAACATGCATGTTTTGTATGGTGAAATTTTACACGATATGGGTGGAATGTAATAATATAATATTGAGTAAAGTTTACCTTATAGCCCTATTGGGTAACCAGAGCCATACAAAATGCATGTTACTTTTTTAGTAGTCCTCTTCCTCAGGACTGCTCTCTATTCGATTCAAGGACACCAACCTCCTGGACACCCACCCTCTAGGACGACTACCCCCAGTCAACTGCCCCCAAGGACAACTACCCCCTAGGGCAACCACCCTCTAGGACAACTACCCCCGGACAACTACCCCCGGACAACTACCCCCTAGTTAGGACAAATACTCCCCAGACAACTACCCCCAGAAAACTTCCCCCCAGACAACTACCCCCTACGACAACAATCCTCTAGGACAACTACCCCCGAACAACTATCCTAGCGGGTTAGTTGTCCGGGGGTAGTCATCCTAGAGGGTGGTTGCCCTAGGGGATAGTTGTCCTATGGGTCCTATGGGGTAGTTGACTGGGGTGGTTTTCCGGGGTGGATGTCCAGGGGGTAGGTGTCCGGATACGCTCTATTCGTGTGTCTTAGTGACGTACATGCGCGCCCGCTCTCACACTAGCTTTAATAGGGACTTTTAGATTATTTTGCGTGGACTGATACGAGTGACGTCCATCCAAGGCAGTGCATTAAAAGGACTTCGATCGTAGCAATCCCCATTGTCTTCGTGCGAATCTAAATAAGACTCCTTTTTTCGTGTAGGTAATTTCGTGAGAAATGGTGGATGTGCGCGCACGCACTCAGAGGAAAATATTTTAAAGAAAAAGATCGGTAGTGGTAAAATTGCGGTTCAAGGGTTGAGGGTGCAAAATATCCATTCAATGTTGTTTAATAATTGCCTTCAGAGGTTTAGATGACAATACTTCAACCTAAATTCCCCAAAAAATGAAATATATGCCCAAATGTTCAATATTTAAGTGCTTTCACGATATCTATCCAGGCCGGATCGATATGATAATTTACCAAGTACATCAATTAGTTGTCGGTTTCTCGGCAAAATTTGTATGATCACGTATGTGTCAAAACATATTTTTTCACATTATTGGTTATAAGAGTTTCTATTTCAATTTTTGAGAGGGGGCGTTTCCAAAACTGGTCTATACCTTTAAACAACCAGAATGTGGTCTACCTTTTTACCCAACATGGGGTTAATTTCTACCAATATTTTTAGAGTCTGACGGTTTTACATTATTCTCCATGCTTTTAAATGATATTCATGATTAGCCTGAACACTTTATCATGACTAAAAGAACATGTATGTAGTCCGAAATTTGAATCAATGATGGGAAGATACCTGAAGTTTAGCACCACGATTGTATTCTCCATTTTCAGCAACATCCAGAATGTATGAGAGTACGCTTGCCTTCAAAGAGACAGTTCCGCCAGGGGCAAAACCAGATGAACAACGATACCTGCAAACATAATATCTCATCATTAGATCTGTTGTGTTTTTACGGCTTCTCCCTCTGTTCTTTTATAACATTTTTATTTTTAAAAAAGCGTTTCCACACCCCTCGCGCTCTCTCTCTCTCACTGATTTAATTTGAATGTAATATGTTTGCAAACATAATTCTCATTTCTCATTTCAGTATAGCATACCTGAAGAAGAGTATACATGTCCGCGTTCATACCATAAATTGCTTTTGTTACTTATACGGGGCTTTTAAGAATAAGCTCTCCTGCGTTTTCTTTTTTCTGCACCAGTCTATTGTATTGATAATTTGGTTTATTATTAGAAGAAAATGAAAAAGATTTCGATACTGTTTCAATGAATAAAAATGAGCATTATGCACTTCATTATTAAATTAGTGGAATTGTTGTTGTTCTTGTTACGACTAACTTAAAGGAGACCTAACCCTAAAGAATAGGTGTATACGTATTCTGAAAAACAAGATGAATTTCTGCCGTTGATGTACAATAAATCTTACGAACGTGTACAAGAGATATATAACGAAGATTTTGGCATGATGTACAGTAATGCCTTTTAGCATGACATGGGCGCAGGCATTTTCTCGAAAATATGACGGGAGGCGGAGTTGTCATGTATCGCGCACCAAGCTTTAGGTTGAAAGACTTTTTAATTTCAATAACAAAACCTTTACTTTTCAATGAGGGAAGTCATAGTCGAGAAAGCAAAATTACATTGTGAAAAATATATGATAGGGTAACAATTATTGTTTGTAACTCATTTCTTTAAAAATACTAAAATGTAGCGGTTGAAAAATCTATTTCATTTATGCGAAACTTTCACCCCAGAACAGCACCAACCTAATCATGCAATTTGCGTTCTGGAAATTGGAGTACATAGGATAATAGCAGGTGAATCATTAACGTTGCCAGGTCTGGCATAATTATGCTTTCTGGCATAATGTTCACCCTTTTAGCATCTGGCATTATGCCTGGCATAATTTGGCTGTTTTAAAAAAAATTCTGGCATAATTTGAGCTTTTTTAGAATTTGAATTTGATTTTTTTTTTTAATTTCTTCTTACCAGCCCCCCCCCCCCCCCCCTCCCCCGCTTATTCAGCGGCTGGCTGAGTGGGCGCAAAATATTTCTTGAAAAATTGGACCAAAAAAAAATTCAGTAATAGTCTGATTTTCATACCCTTGTACCGAATGGTCGTACGATTCAATCAGTTTAATTTTGGCCATTACAAGTAGCGGGTTATTGATGTAGACAGTTTAAATCAATATTTAAAATCAATGATGCCTACTAGAAAATATTGGCAATAGGAAATAATAAGAAGTCATCCTCTGGAAATGCACGTTGCACACGAAGTTTGACGTATGACTGCGTTATACCCCTTGGACACATAGGCCCGAATTCACAAAGAAGGTTTGTCGACAAACCTAGGTTTATAAACCTTGGTTTGAAACGCGTCGAAACGATTATGACGCACATAACCTCCTTTGTGACCATTGTGTTATTTCAATGCCTTAATGCCCCATCCAAGTCTGGGAAGACAAATAAAACATGCGCCACTGATTCAAAACAATTTTTGGACCGATTACTTTGCATTCAGGTATCACTGTGAAATGGCACGTCGTAGACCGCACTCCGTTGTTGACGCAATGCCACGTCAGTAAATCGACGCCTCGTGAGCCACGGGCACAAGAGGCGGGAGTGACCTTTGACCTGACAGTGTACTGGCGCATGCGCCATTTGCCTTCATAGGCGGACATTGAAAAGACACCCGTGTGAAAAGAGAAATAGAAATGGACAGACGGGATATGAACTTACGATGAACGTTTAGCTTGGCGACCCGCACAGGTATCCCTGATGTTAGATGCAGCATCAGCTCCATCATTCGCCCCTCTAGAGTTGAGATATCGGTTGTTATCCAGGAGATATATATTGTTGTTGCCTAGTATTTGGCAGGCCATCTGCTGGGCAGCTATAATAAAAATGACAATAATAATGACTTAAAGTTGAATTAAGTTATTGTCATTTAGTTTCATTTTGATTTTTGAATCGGTGATTTATTTCTTCTATTTCATTAAAAAAAATATCTTGATATTTATCCGGGACTTCCGGGTTGCACAGTTTCACCAATATAGTGGTGGTCATTCTTGTTCAGTAACAATATATACAGGAGAGATATATAAATATGTGTAGAAACGCTTCGGTATATATAAATCTGAATTGCTCCAAGAAATCACTGCTGTATATTAATCATTAGCTTTCCATTCAGGTGATCTTTAATTATGATTTTTAGATGTTTAACAAACAATGTCATATAGTTTCGGAATTTCATAAAAAATAGAAAGACAATTCACACCTGGGCCCGTCTTACATAGAGTTGCGATTGATCCAAATCAATTGTGCATAGCTGCGATCGATATCAAGCGCAAATTAGTTGCGTTTAATATCTTTATAAGACGGGGCTCTGCATGAGCTATCGAATTTGTATAAACTTGTTTACATTGAAAAGTATTACAAAATTGCATTGCTATTTAAAGATACACGTTGATTGTTTGTATCAAATATTGATGAATGACGAAATATAGGATTTCCCGGTGAAAGTCGCGAGTTTTTTTTACTTTTCAGTTAAGTTAGCGCAGATCGCCGGGCTTTGCCATGCCAATATTATTATTCAATTTTCCCGTTTTTGTATTTGATTTAGGATTTGGGGCGAAGGGTTTTATAGCACCTTGTTCATGATTTGAATAAAACATACATATATTCTAACGAAAACTTCATAGATTTGAAAACTAGAAAAAAAGAATATAAACCCGAGATATACCTGACAGCAATAACTCGTGAATTTGGCCGGGAGGTCGTATACATCATGCTAACTTCATTTAATATGTTTATGATTAATGAGTTTATCTTGTCGTCTTCAACGTTTAAATACAACTATTTCAGAAAGTCCTTCTATGATAACAATACATCTTCCAAAAAAAGAGGGGAGGAGGATCTGAGGGGTTATTTTACGTGCATCTCCTGTCTTTATTCGAAATTCTCTGAGGGTTTAAAATCCGCCCCACCCCATCTCATATGATAATATACTTGAGGGCGTTCTTACAGCCTCCGCCTCCGCCTCCGCATGTTCCTTCTGGCTTGCTGAAGCAGCATTTGATACTGTTTGCCTTGGTTGGACACAGATTAGAGATGTAGTTGCTGTGAGGACACTGACTAGATTCAATGCAGCTTCCCACCCTTCCATACGTCGAGTGGTCGTAGTTTGCACATTGTGCATCAGTGTCCGCTGTCGTCATATCGATAAATAAGAAATTAAGATTATGTATGATTATGCATAACGATGATGATTGTAGTTTTTAATTTACCCCAACAGGTCTGATTGAGACCTTAACATTTCTTTTATGAAAATGATTGCCATAGTTACAATATTGTCCCTGCCATCCGAATTTTCTGTGAAAAAAATCACATTCTTATTAGTTACGATATTTTGAAAAGATTATTGGAGAAAATATCACAAAGCTTACTTTATTTTTTATTTGAATTTCCACATCTCAACATGCAAACTTCGATATGAACGATTTTTATGAAATTCTTGTACTTAAAACACGTTGATGATCAAACTTAAATCTCCTCTAAATTAGTGTTGGAAGCCTCAAAGATCTGAAGGCAAAATTCACTTAAATGTTATTATCATGTGAAAGAAGATGTCCTTTAAGACACATTTCTGCAAGGATTTTCAAAAAATGTGTTTGGAGTCGAATCTTGATTAAAGAATACAAACCCAAATTATGTAATTCTTTATCAAGATTTGTCTTCAAACACATTTTTTGGGGGAAAATCTTTACAGAAGTGTGTTCTAAATTACATCCTCTTTCACGTTATGAAACAATTTAAGTGAAATTCTGCCATCAAATTTGGAGCAAATTTGGAGCTCCCAAAACTAGATGGGCTTTAACAAAATGGTCCTTTATTGAATCTCGCACTAAAGTATAGTTGCCCGCAGAGTATTAAAATATTACATGAATTATCAGTGTTTTAAAGAACTTATCCACGAGATTGAAGGTTAGTTATTGCATGGTTATTGCGTGGTGGTATGTACAAGACAGTTTGCGGTTTCAGCATATGGGTATTTAGTCCTGAAAAAAGACTGTTAGGTTTGATAGGGGGAAAAGAGAGAGAGAGAGAGAGATATTATTTCGGTTTCGTCCTATTGAAGCTCAATCTTTCTCTCTCCGCATATCACGGTTCACAGGTCCTTTTCAGGACTCCACTCATGAAAGAATAGATCTCTCTCTTCCTCTATCTGTAACAATACAATACCAAGTTGTCCTTCAGAGGACAAAACCAAAAGTATACCTCTCTCTCTCTCACTCTTTTTTTCTATCCTTTTTCAAGCCCAACAGTCCTTTTCAAGACTACCCGCGTGGTTTAATATTATTGCCACTTCTTCTATTCGGCTCTACCGAACTAATTTTGATCTTATTTACCTGTAAAGCAACATTTGATACCAGCCGGCTGTGTGGGACAGAGATAACTCTGGTATTTAGAACCAGGACAATCACCTGTAGAGATACATTCTCCTACACACCCGTACGTCTCATGGTCGTAGCTCGAACATTGCGAATCAGTATAGGCAACTAGATGCATGACAGAAAATTAAAACAATCATAAAAGCACTGCACGAATCTTATACAAAATGTAAGACATTATGTTTTGAATAAATGTAAATATAATGTACGGGTATAAGATAATGTAGATTTAAACAGAAATCACAACGCAGGGGTACACAATTTATAATTTAGATACAAAAATATTATATTTAGATAATAGAGGCAACTGGGTGACAGAAATAAAACCATGAAAGCACAATATGGATCTTATATAATAATGTATAACACGGATATTAATACATAATGTAGATTTTCAAAGAAATGTGATATACATATCATTATGATGTAGCTCAAACAAAAAAACGTTATGGATACATGGGGCCAATACAGGTATACAAAACAGTATTGTGTATAGATACCAACAAAGTAGATAACGCACGAATACAAAGATATATTATTTTGTATATAATTTCGGCCGATATATCATATTCATTCGTTGTCAACAATAATCTTCCATTTTATTAAACACAACAACTACAGGTTCATTCGATCAGTTTGAATTGTTATTAAGCAAGTAGCAATTAACACTGTGGTAATCTTATATGATGTCCTCTTTATACTCACAAGCCGGGGCTATGATGCCCAATAGAAGAATGATGATCTTCATTTTCATGCTGATACTTTCAAGAGACTTGACTTGTTTCTGACGTTAACTAATGACGTTATGAATCCTCAATAGCTTGCTATCCTATAATATATCCACAGCTCTTTCACGCATAAAACGATTTTCAATGGATTTTTTTTTCTCCATTAATTTTCTTGCGTTCCACTTTGTTAACTTAGCTCGCTCGACGTCACTACCAAACTAGCCAATCAGCTGGCAATAACGTCATATTGTATGCGGCGGCAAATATATTTTATGTAAATATCGAGAAAAGTACTATTTCTACTCGCAAACTAGTCTTCTTTTGAAATAAAATTGCAAAAATTGTGATCTAGAAATGCATGGAAGTCCTCATGATAGGATAAGTTGTGTCTTATTTTATTCACGAGGTGCAGCTTTAGATTCTAAAAATGAATACATTTAATTTGCAATCTTCTCCATTGGGCTCTGAGAGAATGAATATCATCTCTTTGTATTAAAAGTGTCATAGTGTCATTAACTGAAGACTATTTATTGGAATCACTTTACGGTTATGTTAGGGATGTCGGATTCTTCTTGTATACTGTTCTTTTATCCAGCCATGGTTGCATCGAAGCAAAACGGAGAAATATGCCCAAATTTAGACATTCATGAATTTTTAACTCCCTCAGTTTCCATTGTAATTTTACTTTATAAAATCTGTTCCGCTTACTTGCTTTTGAGGGCCTCAGTATCACCCACGCTCTCCAGATTTCCTTCGTGTAAAACTCGTGTGCGTGACCAACATAACAAATTATTTCAATCAACCTGTTTTTATTTTTTTCATTTCGAATTGTTGTAATTTTTTTAAAGTGAAGATTTGTATGCCTATTGCTACAACAAGCTAAACAGTATTATACACACTAAGAAATAGGGGTACATTTGGGGTGCAAGTCTGCAATACGTGGCTGCTATTGTAGAAGCGGTCTGCACCCCTAAGGGTGCTCTTTTGCACCTAAGGGTGCAAGTCTGCAAAATTGCACCCTATAGGTGGCTGCTATTGTAGCAGCGGTCTGCACCCTATAGGGTGCAAATTTGTACCATTATTTTTTAGTGTGTACGAATAGTATCAAAGAACGTTTACCAAACTTTAGTTGCTGATGACCTATGAATCTATTTTATGGTAGAGGATAACTTGTTTCCTGTCTAAAGATACCTTATCAATAATTTGTTCTGCCTCGTATGAATGAGCACCAGGGCTTTTAATAAGGGCCGTAAAAATATGTATATACCAATTTTTATGTGCCAGAATCAGTAAATACAAGAGAGAAAGTAATGAAATAATTTCCAAAGATATTGACAGTAGATTTTATTTGAAAAAGATAAGTACCTTAGATAGCATTCATGTAAGTAATCTTTTTCCATTTTACCTTTAACATGCGATGCAAGAGAAGCCAGGATTTAGTCCTGTAGAAGTTTTTCAGACCTGGAAAAGTTAAGAAGTACAAGGTTTTTTTTTAATTTGTGTTCTAGATGGGTATTGAAGTAAATTCAGCTTGGTTGCCAACTTGGCAACCTTGGGCAACTTTTTTAATAGCCATATTAGCATAATTATGTGCAATATGTAATAATGTTGCTAATCTCAATCCAGGAAGCCTGAAAAAAATAGATAATACAACTTTTCAAGGGTTTTCTATGACGAGGAATTCATTTATGACACCAGTTTTTTATTCAAAGCAATGCAATTGTCTTAAATAGCGTAATTAGCATATGTACAATGTATGGACTTCATTGTCATTGTTTATCTAAAAAGCCTTAAAATGTGCAATGCAACATTGTAAATCACTTTTGAAAGACTAATCATTAATTCATGAGAAGATATTCCATGTATATGTAGTAGGCCAATTTTCTATGTTTTTGAATATGGACCAATAAATTATCTATCTATCTATAATTAGCCTAATTAACATAATGATCTAATTAGCATATATGTGCAATATGTAATAATGTTGCTAAACTTAATCCAGGAAGCCTGAAAACATGGATAATAATTATGACTTTTCAGGAATTCTGCCACCAGCTTAAGCAACGCCGGGCTTGTACTCTCAATGGTTCTGGCTTTGGTAAACATATACAGATCATAGTTTGCACTGTTGTATTCAACATCCTTGGCCTTTGTACGTAGGCCTACCTGTCTCACCACATCATCAATTTCGTCATTATCATAAAACAAGTCTACTCCAAAAACAACTTACTTTCAATAGAAGCAGAAAAATCAGACAAACCAATCAAAAAAAAATTGAGAAAAATCGGATAACTAATAAGAAAGTTATGAATTTTTGAAAAATTATGTAAAACTATGGAACAATAAGAATCACAACACAAACTGCCAATATGGTTATCAGTTTGTGACGTCATGTTCTCACTATTTATAAATTGCTTTATACAGTGCGTCCCAGAAAAAACGAAACCGAGAAGTAGCGATGTTTTATCATAACTTAATCACAACCATAATTAATGAATGATACATATTTGGAAAGCTTAGAGTCTTCTCTTTCAGTTGATGCTACTCAGATGATGCATATTTCACGCATGAGTGATTAAAAGCAATTTGAAGGAAGGAAACCAAAAAGACATTTGGCGGGCGGTATCTGAATTTCGAAGAAAAATTCACATTTCTAGAAAGTTGAGTTTCTGCCCTTTCATATGACACCTCAATCAGGAAAAATGAGCGAGGAATAACTAAGTTCTGTTTGTTTAAAGTAGCCCTTACATTTTCATAATTTTAACAAACGAATTCGTTTTCACTGGGTGCCTGCCGTAGCAAAAAGCAGATTTGACAAAAGACTTAAGCCCCAGTCCCATATAAAGCCGGACCAGCACGGACGAGCACGGACCACTCCGGACCATCCCGGACCATGGTCTGGGGTGATCCGGGATGGTCCGGGATGTTTTGTTAAAAAAAGTGTGATGCTTTAAAAGCTACAGTCCCATATACGTCCCGGACCGTCCCGGACCATCCCGGACCCCATCCGGGGTGATCCGGGATTCGGTCCGTGTTGACACCGTGTTGGCACCGGGGTGGTCCTGGATGGTCCTGGATGGTCCTGGGCGGTCAATAACTCACTCCCGGACTGCCACGGATCAACACGGACCGCCCCGGCGCCACTACGGATGACCCCGGACCCAGCACGGTGGCTACACGGATCACCCCGGATCAAATTTTTGTCCCGGACCGTCCCGGACCACCCCGGCAGTTTTTGACCGTCAAAAACATCCGGGTCGACTCCCGGACCGCCCAGGACCATCCAGGACCATCCAGGACCATCCAGGACCACCCCGGTGCCAACACGGTGTCAACACGGACCGAATCCCGGATCACCCCGGATGGGGTCCGGGATGGTCCGGGACGGTCCGGGACGTATATGGGACTGTAGCTTTAACTCCGTTTCGTTGACAATCAGCCATGCAAGAAGTCTTTCGTCTACGGCTGATTGTCAACGAAACGGAGTTAAATCTTTTGTTAATTACGTTTATTGATACGGCAGGCAGCCAGTGAAAACGAATTCGTTTAATAAAATTATGGAAATGCAAGCACTACTTTAAACAAACAGAACTTTGTCATTCCTCGCTCATTTTTCCTGATTGAGGTGTCATATGAAAGGGCAGAAACTCAACTTTCTAGAAATGTGAATTTTTTTTCGAAATTCAGATACCGCCCGCCAAATGTCTTTTTAGTTTCCTTCCTTCAAATTGCTTTTAATCACTCATGCGTGAAATATGCATAATCTGAGTAGCATCACATAAAAGAGGAGACTCTAAGCTTTCCAAATATGTATCATTCATTAAAAATAGTTGTGATTAAGTTATGATAGAACATCAATACTTCTCGGTTTCGTTTTTTCTGGGACGCACTGTATAGTTTAATCCCATAAATTTCCCTTTTTATCCCCCAAAACTTGATTTCCCCATGCCTTTGCCCAGGTTATACACTGTCGCTCATATAGTTGGAATATTTTTGTTTTACCCCAATTTATATGGAATTATTTTAAAAATAATTTAAAAATAATAGATCTAGATAATAGTATACATTCTCAGATTTTATTGAATAATAATTTGCAAATGTTTGTTTAGCGAGACTGCTAAAGCATGTGTATGCTACTATGCTTATCAACTAGGGGACCTACGCCCTTAAGTAATAAATGACAGTAATAATAATAATAGCTCACATTTATAATGCGGATTAATGCCCCACAAAAAGAGGCCATTGCTTTGTCACTGAACCACGACTGTACGCAGCGGGGGCTAGGGTAGGGGGCAGTTTCCATAAATAAATAAAACACAAAGAAAATGCAATACATTTTCAATAATTTATTGCATTTTACCCCGGTCCCCAACATAAAAAAATGATAAGCATAGTAGCATACACATGCTTTAGCAGTCTCGCAAAACACACATTTGCAAATTATTATTAAATACAATCTGAGAATGTATACTATTATTTTTACATTATTTTTAAAATAATTCCATAAATTTGGGTTAAACAAAAATATTCCAACTATATGAGCGACAGTGTATGATTTGTATCATATTGCGTGAATCCCCAGTCACTTAGAAGCGCGTCGGTAGCTTGGTCGGCCATGATGTGAAATAAAGCTTTTAGCCAACCCATTTTACTGGCACGTGACACATGATGTCAAATGTAAACAACACTGTCTAAAAGCTCTCGCATAGTAAATATAGCAGTAATATGAATTATTGAAAAATTATTGCATTTTCTTTGTTTTTTTTGTTTTTGTGGGGGCGTCGACGTACCCTAGCGCCCGCTGCGTACAGTCATGAATCATTGGCTAAGCAATGGCCTCGTTACTGTGAGCCCCCAGGATCGAAACCGTGTCGATGTGCTTTATTAGTGCCCTTTTATGAGGCATTAATCCATATAACTGTTAGTTATGACTTAAGGACGTAGGTCCCCTAGTTGATTAGCATAGTAGCACACACATGCTTTAGCAGTCACGCAAAACAAACACTCCCCAATTGTCATTCAATAAAATCTGAGAATGTATACTATTATCTAGATATATTAGGAATAAATAATTGTCGAAATCATTCAATAAATTGGGGTAAAAATAATTATTCCACCATTATGACCACTAGTGTATATGGCCTACCTATATTCGTTCCATCAGCCAAAATTTGATACAGGGCGATATTGACAACATTTTTTTTTAAATGAATTTTTAAATAGGAGGTACCAAAGTTGGGTACATTTTTTTTTGATGACACGCACTGTATACTATACATTTCGGTCTCTCATATTCTTAATGTAATTGTTTTGCCCTCTCTCTCCGTGTCATTAATTGAACTCTTCTTCAATTCTTCAAAGGCGTGCTTATATATACTTTTCTCTGGACTGGACTAAGACAGAAAATACACACTTAAAAATAAGATTTATGTCCGTTCTTTAAGTAGTGTTTATTAGTTCTAAAATTACAGCTGGAAGAAAACTTCGTGACAATAATGAATCATTCATGAAAGTAGGAGTCATCAAGGTTAACATTGATTATACTTATTGAAAGCTCCTATTGGTTGAAGATGGGCCTATATAGTCCAGTAAAAGTGATAAAAGAGGTAAGGGTAGGTTTCAGTATAACATGTACATAGAGAGAAAAAGTCACAATTATCATATTGCACAAGTGGCCATTATAGTTGATAAGTGCATTACAGTAGCAGGTCCGAGCGTTTAATAGTGTAAATAATAGATGATTGGAATAATGCATCTTTTTTGTTTGGTGCATATCATTATGATATAATATCTTTATGCTCTTCCATATTTATTTATACAATTAGCTCCGGCAAACAGTTATCAGTGAGTGTTTTTTTAAAGAGAAATCCTTAACTTCCAGGTACGTATTTAACACCTATGGATCAGAGAGAGATTAACTACAGATGATAATTATATCTTGTCCCTGTGCAACTGACAGAGATTCGAACCCTTTCTGGTATACAAAGAATATAATGGACAATTAAATGAGATCTAATTTCAAAATAGTTATAACATTCGTGCTCCAATTAAGAGTAATCCCGTTAAAAGAATGTGTCCCTTTGAACTTGGTTTAGGCCTAATTCTGAATCTTATGACGCGAAAGCACAATGGGTATGAGTTGAGTGTCCAGGGTACCCAGGGCCAAGGTTCTCTCGGGCTCCTGCGGCTGAGCAAGTACTCATCCAAGAGGATGCGTAGCCAGAGTCACCGCTTTTAATCTGGAGGTCCACACTGGTACCTTGGTAATGCCAAGAGGTTGATGAGTGACAGGCTCCAGCGATTGCGTTGATCTTGGAAAGGGAAATAAGGAGATGAACAATTATTTTACCAAATGAAAATTAAAAAAAACTCTATCTTACTATATCAAATGGGAAATCCACTTTGGGGGAGGAATTACCACCTCGTTTGGAGTGGAAAGACGCGATCAAACGTCATGGAATCCACTTTCGAATGAAAATGACCAATAAGAAAGGCATAATTGCAGGTTTTGTATTGTAGGTGTTCAGTGTACCCATGGAGACTTGTTAACATGGACCTTCTTAGTAGGTACATACTTATACAGTACATGCACTTTGCTCCACAACACTCCAAAAACAGCTGGTAAGATATTTCCATTTAAAATTTTTTTTTTTTTTTAAATATTATTTATATAGGTCTTTATATATATATATATATATGTTTTTTTTTTGGTTTTTTTTTTTTTTTTTTTTTTTTTTGGGGGGGGGGGGGGTTGTTTAATACGTGAAATTTACATGATATTGGTATAATGTACCAAAAATGCCCTATTGGGTAACATTTTAGCCATAGCAAATGCATGTTACCTTTTCTACCATCAAGAAAGTATGTTACCTTTTTACTAGTCCACTGCCTCAGGGCTGCAGCTCTCTATTCGTACGTCTATGTGACGTACGTGCGCGCCCGCTCACACACTAGCTATAATTAATGACGACAGAATTACGCACGAATACAGACCCCCCCCCCCCCCCCCCCCCATTTTTTTTTTTCGGGTTGGTGAATTTGTGAAGAATGGTGAGTGTGCGCGCACGCAGTCAAAGTTAATATTTTAAACGACCAGAATTTGGTCTACCTTTTAAATCAACATGGGATAAAATTTCTACCAATATTTCTGAGAGTGACGGTTTCACATTATTCTCCAAGCTTTTAAATGATATTCATGTTTAGTGGACATATTATCATTGCTTTGTAGAATGTTTCCAAAAAAGGACTAAAAGTACATGTTTGTAGCCCGAAATTTGAATCACTGCATGATGGGAAGATACCTGGAGATAACTGTTGTATTGTCCACTATTGGCAACATCCAGGATGTACGAGAGTACGCTTGCTTTCAGAGAGACAGATCCACCAGGGGCACAACCAGATGAACAACAATATCTGCAAACATAATATCTCATCATTATTGTTCTCTAAAGATCTGTTGTGTTTTTACGACTTCTTTTTCTCTTTCTCCACCCCTCGTTCTCTCTCTCTCTCTCTCTCTCTCTCTCTCTCTCTCTCTCTCTCACTAAATTAACCTAAATTTGATGTGTTAGGAAAATCTATTCTCATTTTTTCAGTATAGAATACCTAAATAAAAATGTATGTACACGCGTTCTCACCATACATTGTTTTTGTATACGTGCCTTTTAAGAATAAGCTTCACTTGTGTGTTTTGTGCACCCCTTTATTGTATTGATTAATTGATTTATTATTAGAAGAAAATGAAAAAGATTTCGGTATTTATTGTTTCAATGAATAATAGTACCATATGCACTTTATGAGTAAATTATCGACATTGTTTTTGTTTGTGTTACGACCAATTTAAAGAATATTATTAGCAATAGCAAATGTTAAGAAATTTTCCTCTGGAATTGCACATGGCACACGAAGTGTTTTTTTTATGACGTATGACTGCGTTATACCCCTTGCGCACATTGCGTCATTTTGATGCGTTAATGCCCTATCAAGCCTGGGGGTGTTTCATAAAGCTGTTCGTAAAGTTACGCATGACTTTACGAACGACTTGTATTTGAAGTGCCAAATGAGATGGTCAATCATTATTAAATTTATCAACTAAATTTGAAATGTGCAGATATAGATTAACATTTTTATGATAACAAACATTTTTAATGCAAAGTATATTTTTTGCCATAATTCAATTGAGGTTATTGAAAATATCAGAAAAAACTTTGGGCATGCTATCTGGCACTTCATAATATACAAGTCGTTCGTAAAGTCATGCGTAACTTTACGAACAGCTTTATGAAACACCCCCCTGGGAAGAGAAATAGACCATACGCCAGTGATTCAAAACAATTTGTACACCATCTAGTTTGCATTCAAGTAACACTGTGAAATGGCACGTCCTATACCGCAGTACGTCGTTGACGCAATGCCATGTCAGTATATTGATGTGTCATGCGCTACGGGCACTAGAGACTGGATGACCTTTGACCCGCCAGTGTACTGGTGTACTGGCAAATGCGTCAATTACCTATATGGGTGGACATTGAAAAGATGCCCGTGTGCAAAAGAGATACAGACATGGATAGATGGGATATGAACTTACGAGGAACGTTTAGCTGTGCCACCGTTACAGGTATCCCTGATGTTAGACTCAGCATCAGCTCCATCATTCGCCCCGTTAGAGTTGAGATATCCGTTGTTTTCCAGGAGATATATATTGTTGTTAGCCAGTATTTGGCAGGCCATCTCCTGGGCAGCTATAAGATGGGGGGGGGGGGGGGGGGTGACAAAAATTGAATTATTTACGACTAACTCAATAAATTATTGTCATTAGTTAAATTTATATTTTTGAACTGGTGATTGATCTATTTCATTTCATTTAAATGTTTGTCCTGATAAATATCCGGGTCGCGCACCTGGGCCCCGTCTTATCGAGTAGCGATTGTTTGCAGTCTCGTATCTTTTATGTACCTAGCTGCGATTGATATCAATCGCAAATAAGTTGCGATTAATATCACCTCTTTATAAGACGGGGCCCTGAGACACCAAACTGTTGTATAAATATTTACATGGAACGTATTACAAGATTAGGTTGTTATTTAAAAATACACGTTGATTGTTTGTAATATTATAGCACTTGATGAATGACGTAATACATCATGCTAATTTGATTTGATATGATTATGATTCATTCATTTATCGTGTCGTCTTCAACGTTTACACAAATACAAATATTTCAGAAATTCATTCTATGATAACAATACACCTTCAACGGGGGGGGGGGGGGTCTGGAGGGTTATTTTACGTTCATCTCTTGTCTATCTTAGAAATTCTCTGAGGGTTTAACCTCCGCCCCACCCCCGTCTCTACGCCTACACAGTAAAAACGCTGCTTAAAAAAGTGATGTTCACTTACAGTTGTACACTATCTTAAACAACAGTTGAACAAATTGTAAACAATGTTGCTCGAAACGAAAGTAATTTTGTTAAACATTCGCTGTTTAAAATTTAATGACTGCTATATTTACTACACGAGAGCTCTTAGACAGTGTTGTTTACATATGACGTCATGTGTCACGTGCCAGTAAAGTGCGCGTTGGCTAAAAGCTTTGTTTCACATCATGGCCGACCAAGCTGTAGAGGTGTCGTGGATGAGTGGAAACGTCGCCGGACTGTCGATCACAAGGTCCACGATTCGAGTCCCGCCGCGGCACTAATATCCTATGGCAGCCTAGCATAGCCGGGTAATGTTGGAGCGCCTTGAGGACCTTGCAAGGTCGGTACGTGCGCTATATAAGAATCCAATAGTATTATTATTATTTAACAACAGCTCCTTTTTAAACAACTTTCTTTAAACAACCCAGTTGGTGTAAACAACCCCCACTGAACAACAGCTCCTTTTTAAACAACTTTCTTTAAACAACCCAGTTGGTGTAAACAAGCCCCACTAACCAAAAGCTCCGTTTAAACAACTTTCTTTCAACAACCCAGTTGGTGTAAACAACCCCCACTGAACAACAGCTCCATTTTAAACAACCGTCTTTAAACAACACCGGTTGTTTAAATTGTGATTTTAAACAAGTTGTTCAAAATGTTGATCAACTAAGTGTTTAAACTTTAAACAACTCGAGTTGCTTAACATTTTAAACAACTCTTAGATCAGGTCACCCGTTAATCCAAAGTTGTTTAAACTTTTAAACAACATGTTCACTAAAATTTTAACTGTGTATATGATATTGTACTTGAGGGCGTTCTTACAGCCTCCGCCTCCGCCTCCGCATGTTCCTTCTGGCTTGCTGAAGCAGCATTTGATACTGTTTGCCTTGGTTGGACACAGATTAGAGATGTAGTTGCTGTGAGGACACTGACTAGATTCAATACAGCTTCCCACCTGTCCATACGTCGAATGGTCGTAGTTTGCACAGTCTGCATCAGAGTCCGCTGTCGTCATATCGATAAATAAGAAACTGTATGATTATCCATTAAACGATGATGATAGTGATTTCTTTCTCCAACAGGTTTGATGGAGACCTAATTAACATTTCTTTTACGAAAATGATTGCCATAGTTACAATACTGTCCCTGTCATCCGAATTTTCAGCGGAAAAATCACTTTCATTACGATATTTTGAAAAGATTTTTGGAGAAAATATCACAAAGATTACTTTACTTTATATCTTACATCCTACATCTCAATATGCAAACTTCAATATGAAACAATTTTCTTGAAATTCTTGTATCTAAAACACGTTAATGATCAAACTTAAGAAATGGTCCTTTATTGCATCTCGCACTAAAGCAGTTGCCCGCAGAGTAGTAAATTATTACATGAATTATCAAGTAGTTTTATCCAGAGTTTTATCTACTAGTGTTCATGATCAACTAGTGTTCATGATTCCCCACTTCCTTTTATCTTATGTTGATAATGAACAAACATGTATATACTTTTGTTTGATATAGAATGAAATATATGAAATGAAATGAAAACTCAGACGAATTGGTTTAACCCTTACTGTACTGGGCTATTTCGAGCTCTCTCTGACTGGGGGGGGGGGGGGGGGGCTGGGAGGCCCCCCCCCCCTATGATCTCGGCCGTCGAATGTCCGATGAACGCGAAAATTTGCATGTTTGTAGATATTAACGTAAGGAACAAGATGGAATAATTGGTTTTTTCCTAATATGCAAATTTTGTCGTTATAGCCTAATTAATTATGCAAAATGCTAATTTTATGCATAATACAGAAAACTCTACATATTTGTCCGTAGACTGGTGAAGAATCTTGAAAATGTATTGAATAAATGTTTCCTTCATCTCAAATTCATGAGGTTTCATTATTTTTATGATATTTGAAAATGCATAGGTTAATTTGCATAAATTATGAATACGCATTCATGAATATCAAATCTGGAAATATATATATAGGGAACTAGAATCATTACAAAAATTGTCAGACTCCACTTTTTGAATGTTGAAACTCATTATTCATATGAAACTTCTTTTCTAACACAAAATAGTTATTTGATGTAATTAATAATGATAATTTATGCAAATTTGATGCAATTTTCAACTATTTAATTTCCTATGTATTTTATTGTTTTTGATTTCTTATTATATCTATTGTTTTATTTCTAATGTATTATTTTGTTCTGAAATACATCAAGTTACTTTGAGAAACATATAAAGGCAATTTGATATCAATTCATATCTTCACATTTCTGCTTGTACATGAATATATGCATATATACACTTTTTTGATGACATGCGCATACTAATTACAGGTATATCCGACGAAAATGGTATCAAAATGTGCGTAAGACTTGAGGGAAAAAAGTCATGAAACGACAATTCAAAATTCCGAGCGGTTGCGGCACAATCTCCGAAAATGTCGAGGGGGGCCTCCCAGCCCCCCCCCCCCAGTACAGTAAGGGTTAATGTAAGATGATCTCTGAGGTTTAGTTATTGCATGATTATTGCATGGTGGTATGTACAAGTTTGCGGTTTCAGCATATGGGTAGTTCTGTAAAAGAACGTTGGGTTTCGTACTTTTCTTTATTTAATAAAGAAAAGATAGTGTGAGAGAGAGATGGGGGGGGGGTATTCTTTCGGTTTCGTCCTATTAAGGCTCCATATCTCTTGCCGAATTCATTACCTGGCAGCTCAGGACTCCACTCACGAAAGAATACATCTTTTTAATTGTCTCTATTACTATCCATAAAAATACCAAGTTGTCCTTCAGAGGACAAAACCAAAAGTATACCTCTCTCTCTCACTCTCTTTTCTATCATCTTTCAAACCCAACAGTCCTTTCGAAGACTACCCACGTGGTTTAATGCTAGTGTTACTTCTTTTATTCTGCCCTACCAAACTAATTTCGATCGTATTTACCTGTAAAGCAGCATTTGACATTGGCTGGCTGTGTGGGACAGAGATTACTCTGGTACTTAGAACCAGGACAATCACCTGTAGAGATACATTCTCCTACACACCCGTACGTCTCATGGTCGTAGCTCGAACATTGCGAATCAGTATAGGCAACTGGATGCATGACAGAAATAAAAAAAATCATAAAAGCACACTACGAATCTCGTACAAAATGTATGATGTCATATTTAAAATAAATATAAACATAACGTACGGATAAAAGATATATCATGTAGACCTTAAAAAAACACAACGCACGGATACAAAAATAGATCATGTACGAATACAACATAACGAAGCAACTGGGTGACTTAAAGAAAAAAAATCATAAAAGCACAGACGGAGCTCATATAAAATGTACAACACGGATATATATATATTTTTTAAACGTATGATGTACAGAAATAAATACATAATGCATATTTTCAAAGAAATGTGTTATACAGATACATCATAATTATGATGTAGATCAAACTAAAAACGTTATGGATACAAGGGGCCAATACAGAGATACACAAAAAATTGTGCATATAGATACAAACAAATAGATAATGTACGAATACAAACATTTTAATTTGTTTTATATAATGTCGGCTGATTATCATATGCATTCATTGTCAACAATAATATTTCATTGCATTAAATACAACTATTACAGGTTCATTCGATCAGTTTGAATTGAAAGACTTATCAAGGAACAATTAACTATAGGTGGTAATCTAATATTTGGGCCCCTTTTGTATACTCACAAGCCGGGGCTATGATGCCCAATAGAAGAATGAAGGTTTTCATTTTCAAGCTGATACTTTCAAGAGACTTGACTTGTTCCTGACGGTAACTAATAGCGTTATGAATCCTCAAGTGCTTGCTACCCTCTAATATATCCACAGCTCTTTCACGCGTATATCGATTTTTATTTCTTATTTTTAATTTCTTGCCTTGCACTTTGTCGTGTGAAACGCCATATTATTTTGACAGTGATTTATCGGATATAGATACTAATCTTTTCATATATCCTTCCTGAGAGTCACCTTTGGAAAGCGAGCTGATAAAACTACGACGCCCTCGCCATCTATACTAGCCAGATATAAGCTACATGCATTCAGGATACAAAGCCCTCTTGTGTCAATTGATTTGTTCCACTAGTAATAAGAAGATTTGGATTCAGTTCTAAAGATTGATGGCTTAATATGGGCCATTATCAGATTGTCGAATAGAGGGGGATGAGCGGAATCTTGTCAACAATTCAGTAATGCGATAGGACGCCTCCCTCCCCCCTCTCTCTCTCTCTCTCTCTCTCTCTCTCTCTCTCTCTCTCTCCTCCTCCCTCTCTCTCTCTCTCTCTCTCTCTCTCTTCCAATCTCTCTCTGTGTCTCTCTCTTCTATTCTGATCTGATTATCATGACTCTGTACAGAAAATGTCATAATCTTTGATTTTCTAAGTTATTGATGACGGGAGATATTTAGTTCATTCAGGGGTTGTATAAAATTATTAAGGGTGAATATATGATTGAAAATCTTCTTATGGGAAAATGTTTCTTTTTTAATTACAAGGCAAATGGGTGGGGGCTCGCAAGATACGTAACAAAGTTGCCAATTTGTGTTTGATTGATTCACCTTAAAAATGCATAACTTTCTTAATTGTAATCTTTTTTTTGCTAAAACCAACTTAATATCAGGGTGGACTTCCCACTTTAATGCAATGAGCGCCATTATCTGCCACAGTCGGAGTAATACGGGTTACCTTCAGTATATTTACGTCAAAGACATACGGGATATATATTCGTGGTAGTTACAGCACATCATGCATCATACCCCACATACTATTCTATGTATGCCTCGATTAATCCCTTAACAAACAAAGAAAAAGGTATAAATGCTTGGATGATGCAAGTCATGTTCTTATACCAGAATGGCACTTATAGGAATCACTGTGTTGATGCTCGTGGCTTGTGCACAAGGTATGAGTGGTATACCATGCGTGTTTCTAATTTGTTATACAGGTAGAGTCCATGATATTTTTGTATATATTGTGGAATTGGAAACAATGTTTACGAATCAATATTCATAGTTATGAATAGGCTATGGAATAATAATCCATCATATAATTCAATAACTTATCTTAATAGGCAGTTTCACTCAGCGCTTTTAGAGATGTCAGCGTTGAGTGGCTAGAAGTTGTGGGTTCTAGCCCGCCGGACGCATAATGTCATTTGCCACATTGTCCATTGGCCAGATGACGAAAATAAATTGCATTTGAAATATTAGATATATATACGCTTCCTTAGAAGCATATATAGGCAGAAAATGAATCATATCTATTAGCTCTTCCGCCACCCAAAAAAATATTGATACAATTTCTTTCAATAATTACACAAATTTCCAGGGTACACGGACCCCGAGTGCTCCAGCCAAAACCATGATGATTACGGATGCTCCGGAGAATGCATCGTGACCTCATCATGTCCAGGAAACAATTACATCAGCAACCTTTGACCTTCTCAACCTTACAACGTTAAATGCTGTTTCACTGGTTAGTATGCCTACAATATTTGTTAAAAACATTTTGTATCTCTTATACGTAAGGCCATTAAAAAAACCGGAGCAACTTCAGAATACCCCACCACAAAAATTGACCAAACGTTCGTAGGGTACCAAGCGCTTCACCAATGAAGCTAAATCTCGAGACTTAAGATTTTTAAGTAACAATAAACCTAATCCTAACCATAACTTTAACCCTAACCCTAACCCTAAGTCTTTGACGTTTATATACATTAGCCCCATTGGTGGGGTATTCTAAAGTTAAGCCAAACAAAAATCGTGTTTAGCGTGCCCGCCCGCTTCTTTTTTGGGGCCGCCTTCCTTCGTTTTTTTAATAAAAAAAACAACATGAAAAACGTACTGCTAAAAAATGATCTATCTCTGATTTAAACAACAAGAAGAAAAGATGCCGGCGGCCATCTTAAAGAATAGCCCGGTTGTCAGGGTAAAAATGAAAAGGGCCTCCTCCTTCCTATTTTCAAAAAGGCAGGACGCTAAACATGTTTTGTTTTTTAAATGGCCTAAGTATAAATAAAGACAAGGAGAAAGCCCTCCCCCCCCCCGCATTCCACCTTTACATTTAAAGATCACTGATTATAATGATGTAGACAGCAGAATTTGAGATTAAATTCAAGCTAAAAAATTTAGTCCCTCCGAAAAGGTGGTATATCATTGTTATTATCATCAATTTTGATTAAATATGAAAGTCGTGTTGATAATTAGTTAGTGGCGTGTTCGGCAAAGGCTTGAGTTGGCGTTCCCCCCCCCCCCCCCCCCCCCCTCCTCCTACAGTTTGAAAGTATATCTATGAAATGCAACTTGTAGACCTACTTAACGGGGAACTACGCAATTACAGATGCCATTATGCTTAGAATCAAATTGGTAACCAAAGAAAAATATGCATAAAGTGAAATACATTGGATTTATACATGTCAATTATTTTTTATTAATTTTACTAATAACTTAATCAATAACGATTAATAATGACAGCTGCGAGTGACTCGGAATGCACAGACTACAATCACTGGCGTTATGGTACTGTTGGTTCATGTGTTGAGACATCAGCTTGTCCTGATGACTAGTGGGTTGTGTCCTACCAAGCCTGCGGACATCAAGTGCTGCTTCTCTAAACCCATGGGAACATGTAAGTTAAAGAAACCAGAACTCTCTTTTCACTGTTCTATATATCTCAGTGACACCGCCTAACCTAGTAATTTGCCCATACACTACCCCCCTTACCGACCCCCCCCCCCCGGCCCCCTAACCTCACCATCCCATCCCGCCACCCTCTCGATACTGCCAACCCAAAAAAATGTAATAATTATACATTTTTTGTAATACGTGATCGCACACGCCCCCCCCCCCCCAACACTGAAATTTGAAAATTGCCATTCTCTAAAAAGCCATATGGAAAGCGGCCTATGCGCCACATGCGGCTGTAGGCGATACGATTTGATGCCGCCGGTCAAACTACCAAGTAAAACAAAACAATTTAAAAAAAACATTATTATATAGTTGATTTTTATGCTATAACTAGATCAATAGTTCTCATTGATCTGCATGCCACGATTAAAAAATGGCCCGCCTGTCCCAGTAAATAAAAGGTGCAGAGTGAGCCGATTATACATTATAATTTTCTCTTTTAAATCAATTTTCAATCATTTCGATGCATTAGTGGATGTAGGTCAAAAGTAATTTAAAAAGCTATAAAGTTCGATCAAGATTGATACCTGTCAAAAATAGATATCCGGCGATTCACTGAGAGCAAGCCATCTGTGCATTGTTTAAACAAGAAATAAGTCCGACAAAGATAAATATAGTTTTAATTATGATAGATGAATACGAGAGGTCGTTCATTGACCCGTCCTTGGCAGTAGGATTACCAGCGATTGGTTAAGTCAAAGTAATCCATATAATCCCATTCGATACAAATTATGTAAGAAAAGAAGTTGAAGAAGTGGGCCTATATTCAATCTGACTATCATTTCAGTAATAGTTATAAAGAAGTAGCGGTATAGTATTCGTAGTATTAGTTGAAACAGTTTTAGTAATACTGGTTATAGTCTTAGTAGTGTAGTAGTACTTGTAGTAGTAGTAGTAGTAGTAGTAGTAGTAGTAGTAGTAGTAGTAGTAGTATAGTGGTAGTAGTATTAGTAGAAGTAGATATATTAGAAAGTAGTAGTAGTAGTAGTAGTAGTAGTAGTAGTAGTAGTAGTAGTAGTAGTAGTAGTAGTAGTAGAAGTAGCAGTAGTAGTAGTAGTAGTAGTAGTAGTAGTAGTAGTAGGAGTATCACTAGTAATATGGCATTTAAAAAAATGTATTTTAACATTTGTCTCTTTCCTCGGTTCGTTTTGATAAATGTTAAGTGAAGGCATTTGGAATTTTTTTTTTTTTTTTAATCAAAAGGGGCAGCAATTATTTACAACAACAAAAATATCATGTATATTATTATCACTTCGCTCATCATTCTGTGGTTACAAAAGCCCAGTTTTTGATAAACTTCATCGTAGATGGGGTACTCTTATCATTTCCATTGTATTCATTTCAATCACCTAATATCCACCAGGCCTAAAAATCATGATGATCTTTTAAAATGGGGGTACTAAATAAGAAGGAAATGCATTAGAAGTAGGGGGTACTCGTTCCCACCCAGGTTCCCTTTTTCGATGGCTTATATATAATAGCTTTATATACATTACAAAAACGGGCTAAGTTGTGTTGATTGGAGTTATCGGTGAATTAATAGATAATAATAATACATGTACTAATCAAATATTTAGATTATTAAATACTATGAACAATAATGTTATGTGTTACAATGAATGATCACCCATATTGAATAAAGCAACATTGATACACTATAAGACTTATGCATCCGTCTACCAGGTACTGCTGTTCATCGGGTTGTACGCCTGGTGGTTCAACCTGTCTGAGTGAAACCCTCCTTGAATACATCATCGATCTCGCCGACGATGGGCATTATCTACAGGTAAGGATCCAATCAGTCCACTTCTACTTAACAATCAGGGCATGTCGTCATAAGAACGTTGAAGGAGCGTTTTAGGGAGTTCACATGATTGTAAGGGAAAAGACTGTTTGATGCGCATTTCCTAGGACTGGGAGCTGAAATTGTGCGGGTGGCGCCCTTTCAATTTCATACTGTGGCTTTTTGTTTTCTTGTGTCATTATAGAGGACAAAATAAAATATAGTTCTAGAATCTTGAGAACAAAATTTGAAATAATTTTTGCAAAATATGTTTAATTTGTTCAACTGAGTTGAGGATTTTGATCAAACTCTCTGAGATCTTTCTAGTGTATCATTTATTATCGA